AAATATTTGCATGTCCTTACTATGACAATACAATATGTACGGCTTTGTAAAGTTCCAACTCCCTTACTCACACTAGGAAACTCCTTACCCTGCAGATGGCTCCACGGCAGTTACTGTTCAGTGCTTTGCTTCCCATTAGTCACATCTTGGAAATACAGTTGGTAACTTCCCCATTTGTGCCTGGGCAAAGGGTTTCTCATTTTAGACACACACATACCTCCACACCCCACCTACCTTGTACCATCTCACTGATTGCTGCTATAAACAAGTCAAGGCTCTAGAAATGCTGACTCATAGTGTTAAGGCTATGGAAAATATTTTAGAGTTGCTAAAGAAGCAAAGCCCAGCAGGTTTCCTGCCCTTCTTCCTTATCTGCAAGCCCCTTGCCATGACAGGCTGTAATGAAGGACCTTGCTTCCTGAGAGGAGGCAAAGAGTAGGTACTTGCTTCCTAAAGATAGCCCAGATTCCTTTGAATTCGCAGTTGCTAGCTGGTAATTGCAGGCAGGGGAAGACAACCCCCAGTGCTTACAACCGCAGGGCTACAGATGTCGAGAGATTAATGGCTCCTGGGTAGGTTTTCTTGCCCAATGCAGCATTGCTCACTGCAGTGCACTTCCTGGGACAGAGTGAAGTTCCTCTAAAATGCCCCAGTATCTTCTGTGGAAGGCGGCTCCTCACCTATGGACTTACTGCACAGCTGAGTCAGTGCAGACAGGCAAATCTCTATTTGCTTTGGGAGGGTCGACACCAACAAAGACACGGGCAAGCAGCACTGGGTGCAAATTCTGGTTCCCTGTGGGCATGTCAGTGCAGGAAGGGACAGGGACTGGTGCTCACGCTGAACCGGGCCATGGACAGCAGTGTGGGGAGAGCAGCACTATCCTGACGGGAGCCAGTCTGGGTGCATTCTGCCTGTGTTAACACGGTGCTGCGCCCAAACTAATCGGCCCTGGATTTTATCCAAACGACAAGCTGAGCGCCTACCACATCAACAGCTTGTTTTTCCCCACTGGGAAATGACCTCCTGTTGCAAAAGGCAGAGCATTTAAGGAAACAGCAAAGTTTTATAGCCACACGGTTCACGTGGCAAATGACTTCAGAAAGCCTAAGGAGCACGGAGCCTTTATGAATGGCTGGGATGGGCAGGTTGCAGCAGGGCTGCCTCCTCCTCCTCCCCTTACCTACGCAACTCATTTGCAAAGAAGCAGAGGCTGATGAGCTACATTTACAAGCTGGGCAGGGCAGCCCAGAGAGCAGCTCTCACTGAAGGGAGGGAGCAGGCTGTGGTGAGAGCTGTATTGCAGTGCTCAGAAATGACTGGGCTAAATGGTCATGGTGGTGGTATCGAGTTGATTTTATCTATAAGCTATTCTAACTGCAGTCTGCAATCAACATGGCCTGTAGCTTCTAAATGCACTAGATGCACACAAGTAGGGATGCAGAGCTTCCTTTTTCATTGGCAGCTGATTTTCAGCTGCACATCAAATGAAATCCTTAGCAAGTTGATCATGTGCATAATTTTCTCTATACTTGTCAATATGGAGACGCATTTGGCTGAAGTCTCCCTCTTTTGAGACTACAGGAGCCATTTTACATAGGTGGGGACAGAGGCTGGCCCTACAAGGCTCTCACACTAGTTTAAGAACAGTAACTATGGTGCTTTTGCCCTCAAAGCAAACCTGAGGTCCTGTCAGTCCTTCATCTCCAGTAAGTGCTGTGACAGTGAAGGTGCTCAGTGTGAAGATGGCCCTGTATGAAGAATAGATTGGATCATAAACGCAGAAACAGCTGCTTAAGCAGAACACAAGGAATAGAAGCAATGATGTTGCTGGGCAGAGAAAAGCATTGCAAGAGCTCACAGATAGCCTCCTTTCTCCACAGGCACATGCGCACTGCTCTCACTCAGTCACATTTCTCTCAAGCTTCCTGGTAGCTGCATCAGCAAGTGTGTTCTGTCACATCTGACTGGCTACAGGACTCTGTCCTCGCCTGACAGTAATGACCTGGCCTTGATTTTTCACATTCTTGTTGCCTCCTTCCCCTCTTCCAGCACCATAAAAGCACTAGGCATGAAACCTGCAGCACAAAGGAAATTCTCACTAGCACAGCCTGCTGCAGCACACTTACCTCAGCAGCACAGGGGCTGCAGGCATGGCAAACCTCACATAACCTACATTAGATTCCTGCAACGTTCCAAATCAGGCACTTAACTCCCAGACTTGGCTGAGACTCATCTCCATGGCCAGACTTAGTATACACAACAGAGACTAAGACTCCGAGGATCATGGTGAACAGCTTTGCTCCTTTGGTAAAATGTAATGCTCTATAAAAACAGGCAGTTCAACCCCACAAAAACAGTCTATTTTTGGCCCAAGAACAAATACTGAAATCCCCCTAGAATGAAGGGCCATCCAGATTTCTCCACATGCAAATTGCACTGTAAAAGATCAACTCTCTGGCTGAATGGCTACAGCAAAACACACTTGACATTGCCATGGCCTGGCCTCTGATCCGCCGCTGGCCAGAGGTGATGTCATGGGCTGTGTTCACTGTCTGGAAATGAGGAGCAAGAAACACGCTGTGCCGGCTGGCCAGCCAGTCCAGTGACACATCCTGACATGGGCCACAAGGAGACAGGAACAAACTGATAACTCTTAAACATCATGGAAACCAAACCCAGGGAGAAGTTGTTTGTGTATAAGCACACTAACTTGGCCAGTGGCAGCGGGTCAAACCACGCCTTTGACGCTTTAGTCCATTTCTCCACTGCACCTCCTTAGTCCTTTCTACCCCTTCTCTCTCTTTCCTCAAGGCTACTTAGCTAATTAGACTGCTGCTGTCTCTGCTTTGTTTACCCCAGTTCTACCTGCACTGAACAGCAGCAAGAGTGCTCTCCCCCTGGTGTCACCACTACCTTTGAGAAAAAAGCTGACCTGCAAGCTATTTTTAGCCACATTGTGAAGTTGTGGAGCTATTTTGGTCACATCTCTGTATGAAAGCTGCAGGACACTGACAGGCTCTGTGTTTGCCTAGGGCAACAGGGGCTTTAACTGGAATGGCTTGTGACTTTGCATTAAGGCTTCTCTGCCCTGCCCATGCCACAGGACTCTTTACACCAAGATTTGATTTCTCTTCCTTTTAGGAAAGAGTAACACACCTTTCTGAATTCTGCTGGATACCAGAGGCTCTTTTAAGGCCTCTGCAGAAGGTGCTGTTTATTCTGTGGGCTCCCTCACTCCCTAGGGGGAGGTAGGTGCAGTTATGAGTTCACAAAAACACCAGACAAGATTTTATCAATCTTCCTTTGCATCAGATCTTTGTAACAAAGATCAATAAACGTTAGGCTAGTGCCTGCTGAGAAGTTGGGTGCACATATCTCTGTGGAAGTAAGAGCAGGAAGAGCAGAAAGGAACCATTTGCATAGCAACATGTTGTTCTGAATACAAAGTAATGCCTGGGAGCTCTGGGGTACATCCAGGGCATCGGGCAGAAGGTGCCTGGTCTAGACAGTTGTTTTCTCTGGAGTGCCCAAGTGTTGGTTGCCAAGTTTGCTGGGGTTCTGTAGCAGGTGCAAAGCACAGGCAGAGTAGAAGCCAAAGAAACTGGATTTAACAGAATTAAGCCTGGAGATACAAAAAGAAGCTTGAAGGATATGAAATAGGAGGTAAATGACAGAAGAGAAAAGAAAATACTGAAACTGGTGTATTTAGGACAGATGAGTCAGATCTATAAAGGAGGAACAAGGGAGTAACTCTGTATGAAAGTTTTTGAGCAGCTGTCAGCCAACCCACCCCAGAAAAGTCCCCTAGGACTACTGCTGTCTGTAGCTACAGTGCATGTTTTCCCAAGACCCTTCAGGCAGGGGTATTAACAGTTGTGCACCTATTTCATTTGGAACAAGCTCCTGATGCAACAAGAAGAATCAGAATTTCATCAAGTCAGGCTTCAAAGTCTCTCTCATATATTCTTTCCCCTCAACTTTCTTCTAAAGCTGGTTCTGTAACAGTTCTTTCACCAAAACCTACATCCTGCTTCTAAGGTGAGCCACTTCTTACTTCACTGATGCAACTTGCACCTACTTCCATGAGTCAGCACAAGGCACATATCTCCTCCATAGCAGGATCAGTGCTTGCTAACAGGATGGACTGTCCAGGGAAACACTGGTGACCTGTTGCAAACAAGTTTGATTGGCAGAGCATCTCTGTATTTCACTGGGTTTCATCTCTGTGTTTCAGCAGAAGAAGCTGCTTCAACTCATTTGGTCCCGGGCAAGCATTAATCTGTTATATACTTTTACTTTCTTCATGCCAGGGAAATCAGCTGACCATTAACTGATATTTTATGACATGTAAATTAAAACTAGCTTAGTAAGAATTTAACTTTTTAGTCAATAGGTGGAAACAGCACGGACAGAAAGTATTGTTTAATATGTTGTTATTTTAGCAGGACAGAATGGAACTGTCGCAGTTCAGATCAGACACGGAGACGTGTCCAGCAGCAATATGTCAAGACCTGTTGCATCAAAAAGCTCAGTGAAGTGCTTTGTGTTTCAGCCTCCCCCAGAGCCACGCACAAGACTAGCAGCAAGCATTACGTGGTGAAAATGTTTTGGTCAGATCGAATAAGAAAGCAACATGTTGCATTATTTCCCTGCTGAGCTTCAGCAGCCTTTCTTTGGGACACTGCATAAGCAGGACAACAAACACAGCACGACAGGAGTGTCTGACAGATAACCTGTTGGCTCCTGCATGGTGGACCCATGTTCCTACTAGCATGAACTTCACCTTTCATCACTTCTCCAGATTCTTAGTTTTCATCCACTTTCACACAATTTATCAATGGTCTTCACCAATTATTTAATGAAGACATCCTATCACCATCTCCACAACGCAGATATTTTACTAGCAAAGAAACTAATTTTTTTTCATATGCATACACCTGTTCTATTTTCCTGTATGGAAACACCAGGCTTACAGTAACAAATCACAGGCAGCTCACCCCATAGACATAGTCAGAGATTGTCCACCAATTGTGTGGTTCCCGACAAGCACACGCCACGCTGGAGCCGACGACTGCAATTGTTCCCAATCTCCTCTAGGGAGTGCAGTCGGAAAGGAAGAGACGGAACTGCAGCGCACATGCCAGCTGGGAATCGGTGACTCAGGATATTCAGGCATAAATGGTGTCCGTCCGTTTCCAGCTGAACGCAGGGAGCAGCGATGAGGTTTGAGCTTGACGTAAGAGCAGGATTCTACTTGAACCCGAGGTATGCCTTAGTACGTGAAAGACAGCTCTGCCAAGATACTAAAATTCAAGAGGTAAATCAAGGATGTAAATGTAAATAGGGCTTCAAATCCTAGATCAATCGTTTAAGCCAACGCCCCCACAGCTGAATGGAGCATGGACAGCACATGGGGCTTTCGTCTCTTTCACCCAAGTATATCATGATGCATGTCCATCAGATCATCCAGGAAAGGCATGCTCACTCTTAAAACATCATCTAGGCCTTGGTCTCCGTGCAAAGAACATCAGAGACGTTAATTTCTAGATGTATTTTGTGTGTATGCGCACAGTGTACTACAGAGACATCAATTTATTTCACCTTGGATTCATGAAATAGCCAAGCAAATAGTATCTGGCTGATCTCCATGGTAAGGAATCATGGATGAAAAGGTATAAGGTTGCCAATTTTCTCCCTACAAATCACATGTGTGCCTTGATTCTATGACCTTCTAGACCTTCTTTAAAGAAGGACCAGAACATAAAATGAACATAAAACCAGATCTTTGCCCTCTTCCCCCACCCCCAAAATAATAATAATAATAATAATCCATGTTCCCAGTCTCAAGAAAAAAAAAACATTAAGGAACGCAGAAGTCATAATATCATCTACCTAAGGCAAAGGGCAAGAGAACAAATTTGCCAGGTAAGAGTTTGGACAGAAAAGCAGGTCTACAGGAGGGACATACCTACATTCAGAGAGGTGGCTGGGTTGATCCCAAGCACAGCAGAGGACACGGTGAATTCTGCAGAGTTACTGACACTTTGTGACAAAGCAGGTCTGTAGAACCAGTGAAGAGCTGCAGCTCTGAGGACCGTGGGGAAGAGGAAACCAAGAGACAGTAACGTTGCTGCTTATGGACAAAGCTGCCAGGCTGACACAGACAACTTGCCACATACAGAAATCACCTACAGCAAAACAGGGACATACATTCACATATCCTAAGGACAGCAACCAGACCAGCAGCCAGGGACTTCACTTTCAGCCAGGCATTTAAGTGGCAGCAGATACCTGTGGGACAAAGCCAGTCTTGTGATTTTAGAGACTAAAAGTTCCCTCAGTAGCAGGTGAGAAGACAAGAGCTTCTGTTTCTAGATGTGGGCTCTGCAATTAAACTGCCAGCAGCTGGCTCAGTTTAGGGTGAGCAGCACTGCTTGTGTCTGCTCGTGTGTGACAGCCCAGGGGAAGGAGGTACAGGCACTGAGCACAAGCTTCATGTTTACTCAGCAAGCACCAGCTGAAGAGAACCATCTGATTTCTAAACTCCCGTTGCCTCCCACTTTCTCTATCATCATCACACTACATATCTAAGCCACACATAAGATATCACAAACTAATTCGCTCATACAGTCCCTTTATTACAGCTCCTGTTGCCCTTTGTTCACCTGCCTCCCTCAACCAGCGTACCAGAAGCCCCACGTACTGACATAGGAGGAAAAGAAAGAGCAAAAGCCTGTAGAAACTGATAAAGAAAAAAGAACCATCAGCTCTTTCTTGCCCTTGCAAATGACAGAGCATCTCCTCCCCGACCTGTCCCATCCACTCTTAAATTTTCCCACCAGCATTAATTTCTATTGATGTCTTGAGTTACAGGTATTTTTTTAGTAGAAGCAAGGAAAAGCAGGTTTAGCATCAAAAGACTCTCAGAAATCCGTAAGAATATTTTTGGTGAGGGCATAATTGATTTCTAGGGGGACGTTTATGATGTATGCATTAGCACAGTCTCAGAACTTCGTTCTCCACCTATTTAGGATTCCCACACTGGATTTTACAACCTGCCTTCACATATGAGATGTTGAAGCTTTCAATGAGGTCACGCCAGACACTGACAAGCACTGATGGGTGAGTCATGCTGCAGTAGCCAGAGATACTAGCAACAGATTTGTTAATCTGTATGCAGTCTAACTCTTTTTCTGGTCTAGGATCTTATTCAAGGGTGAAATACAATGTCTCAGAGGTAGGTGACTGCAGAATTGCTGAAGAGCAAGGACACATTTTCACAACTATTTTACAGATTCTAATAAGAATCAGTTGCTGGGAGCATGTTTACAACAATGTACAATGTTGATTTAGCTATAAAATCTATAAAACAGGAGATCAAGATCCAGATGGGGTCAATGGTGTTGATTGCAGATCACTGGAAAAGCCACCATGCTAATACAGAATCTAAGTTCCACCAGCTCTTGCTCCAGCAGTTCCAGTCATCATGTCCAGCAAACTGTTCTTCCAGAAGCTACATCCCTGTACCAGGGTGAGCAGATGTAAATACACATCCATACACCAGCCAGTGTAGGACAAAGATCAGTGCAGTCACAGCACTGTTAGGCTTGGGTCTGAGCTAAGACATCCAGCCCTAACCCAGCAGGGTCAGGCACGGAGCAAACTAAACTCTCTTCTGCTGGCTCTGCTGTGGAGGGGAAACCAATGGAGAAGGATTAGACCAGACCATTTCCTGATCTGCCACGGGAAAATTCTCCATGGAAGCTTTGGAAGTGTGGCAAGAAGGACACATAAAACCATGGAACAAGTGAGATATGGGGAGTGAGTGCATGACAGCAGAAAAACGTTTCATCATCTTGGCTAAACTACTGGACAGTCAGAAAAAGAACCAATAACAAAGGGAAGAGGCAAAGTAAAGCTAAAAGAAATTCTGCAGACAGACAGCAAAGATATGAGGTCCTGTTGTATTTTCATTGTTGCAAAGCTAAATTAAGCTTCCTAAGTCAAGCAGAAAACAGCATGAGCAGCAATTGCCAGTGGACAACTAACAAAAAGTGTCTTCTCTCAGAGAAAGAAAGCCACTAGCAGATTGCATAATTGTAATGAGTTTCCTCCCAGTTTCACATTATTAGTCACCTTTCACCCTTCTCTGCCAAAGGCCGCCTCTTACCCATCCATCCAAGGACCAGAGCCAAGGCACAAGCCTTTCCTGTGCTGCTTCTTTCCACCAGCCACTCTTCAAGGTCAAGGCCTCCACAATACTGATCACTGTGCCCATTCCAGGCATTCTGAACCAATGACAGAGTAAAACCCCCTTCAGCCCTGCCATTGGGAAAAGATCCGAGACACCTGAATAGACCTTCCTCATACTCAGTTGTCATGGCCTGGAAAAGCAGTTCTGAAATTGTGAAAATATTTCAAAGCAAAACCATTGCAAAGATTCATCGACGAGCCTTCACCAGCAGAAGACATCCTACCTAGAGTCCCTTGGAAACCTGTTTGACTCAGGTGGAAATGACCTACTGGCATTTATTTGTAATTGCCCAGCATGGCAGTGGCTGAGGAAGGAAAAGCTATTGAGTCACACTCCAAGCCACTTTTCCACTTCTGTCTGGTTGCCCAGAGGGTAGAGTGAGACAGTCAGAAGGCTGAGATTTTGTTTATGGCTCTGAAACTGATTATCCATATGACCTTGCATGTACTTCTTGTGCCACCATATCCCCATTTCTTAATAGCTAAAACCTCTCGACTCGTGGGTCAGTCAGAAGTGCCCAGCAAGGAGCATGTTTGTTTATCTAATAAAAGGTAAGAGAAGAGTGAAGTGGCGTTATTGTTGTCATACAATACAAAAGCGGTTACGTAATAACATCAGTATTGCTTCAGTTTTGTCATTACAACACAAACTGTCAGAGGGACACTGCCTGACATGGTATCTTCATCCCGATGGATGTACCCAAGTGTTTACTTCATTGATACAAAACCAGATTACAACAATCTGGAAGACTCTACCTCGTTTATTTTAACCATCTAGAACATGTTTTTCCTGTATAACCTCATAACCCATAATAATGGCCCAAAGTGCACTATAGGAATGATGGCAGGCTTCATGAGCTAGTAAAAGGAAAACAATTCCTCACTTGTGCATTGCACAACTGCTCACACACTAAAGCACATGAGTGCTTCTCTTCTTTGCAAGCAGACAACAACCTGAAAGTTAGTTTCTAAACTAGCATGTCATACACACACAGAATACTTTTAAAATAATCTCAGTGCCATGAAAGAAAATTAAAAGAACTCCCAAATTTGGCTAAATTACATTCTGCTTGTCTGATGACCAATTTCCTAAAAAAAAAGCATTGACAAATTCTGTTCCTAACTGCTCTATAATTAATAACCAAATTTCTTGGCTTCAAGTTCTATGACTTATTCTAAAATTTAAAATCCTTTGCTTAAAAATGGCCAGATTCAAGTGGTGTGTGGACTGAAGGCTGAGGAAGGCATGGCTGTGATTACAGCAGCTGAAACCGTGCCCTAATCACTCCCTTATCTTCCTTATCTACTGCAAGTATTTATAAAGCAATGATTACTGTACTAGGCCACATCACTGCTCTGAGTTTGTTCTGAACCAGCACCTTCCTGTTGCTGTAAGAAGTTCTCACTGCTAGAGCTGGTGTCATTTTGCTGAGACAGAAAGCCAAGCTTCTCATCACTTAAAGTCATTAAAAAAAAATAAACTATGACACCTCTAAAGGAGTAGGGGTGTTAACCCCAATGTCCTGGCCGAACTCCCAGCTCGAGTAATTACAACGTGCCTTGAATAAATTCTTGCCACAGTTTCCTTTGGACACAGTATTGTTCTCTACTTCCTCTCCTACAATATTATGGAGTGCTGATGCATGCTCTTAAAGGTCCTGTCCGTGCTGGAATGTCACACAGGTCTACCCCAGGACCAGCTCTGCAGCAGCACATTGGGAACAATGTGTTGAAACCAGTTCTGCCTGTCAGCTGAACCGCTAGGCAATTTGTAATATTTATTTATTGATGTTCTGGCACCTCCTCCAGATGGAATTAACTTTGGGTATGGCTAACTGATGGATAGACTGGTGCAAATCCCAGACACAGACATACTCTTTTATGTAATAAAGTTCTTTAAATGGACTAAATTTGCATCAGGAAATTAGCAAATGAAGCTAAACTAACTTTCTAGGTGCCTGCTATGGTCACCTGAGAAGGCAGCAAGAACATGCCTCATGCACAGGACTAGGAAAGCTAAATGTGCTGCTTAGTTTAGATGACAACAATCAAGTCGGTTTTCACACTGGCTGTTCCTTCAGAATTTCAGTGGACTTTTTCTAAACTGTCTGTTCACAGACGATACTGTTTATTTTTGAAGCAGTCACTGAATATGTACCAAACACAGATCTAGCATTTTAAGTAAAATACTTGACTGTTAAAGCAAAACCATTATTCACGTTTTTCTGCAGCCACTGTTAGACTCTAAGGACTTTTACCTAGCGCTCTCATTATCTTTTTATGTGTGTAACACAAAGAGCTGAGGCCCAGACTCTCTGCTGGCATTTGCCAGGTTAGCTCCACAGACCTTGCTAACTCTCATAATTCATGAGCTTTAAAGGCAATTTGTCTGCAGGAAGAAGTACAAGATCAAGATTCAGAAGAATCCAATTTTCAATTCTACCTTATGACCCTGTGGGCGGATCACTCCCTCACTGCTCCATTTTGTTCTCCCATCTCCAAAAGCAAATGATACCCACTAATTTGACAAAACAACTACAAAATCAAATTTATATTGACAGACCATGCTGAACGGTTTTGCCTCAAACACCATTGTTCTAACATTTGAAAATACAAATATTTACTTTTCAAGCATGTCCCTAATTTCCCCAGAAGCATGTCTCCAAACCCATTTTATTTCAGAAGACAGAAACTGTAGTTTCAGAAAGTGAATAGTTTTATTTTTCTGTCATTACAAAAATGCCTTTTAACTTGTCAAATGATACACTACAAATATTTTTGGCAGATGAATGAAACCAAGTTTCCTGTCATAGCTGCCAACTTCGAGGTTGAGATAATCAGATAAACCTTTAGTTTGCTTCTCCCAGTACCTGAACTACATGTGTTTGAAGTCATCCACATCTGTCTTACTTTTCCTATTGGGATTTGAAGAGGCAAAGTGTCAGACCATTGTGCCAAGTTCACAAAACTCTAGGCGTGGCCCACAGTTGTTACAGCCAATCTCTGCTTTCAACTTTCCTCAGGTTTCCCCCATCCCAGGTTGAATAGTCCCCAGTAGCTCTGCTTGTCTGACGGTAAATGCCAAGTTCACATAAATAGTATCCAGCATCACCCTCAATGCCTGCTGGATACAAAGCCTTACGATACAAAATACCTATTAGATTATGGGAGAATAGGAAGGAAGTTTGTTTCGCTTGTTTTATTTCAGCAGAAGCAGTAATATTGGATTTATGGAATTGGATTATTTCATAGTGGGGACACTTCAAAACGGAATATTTGCAGGGCATTTTATAACCGAGTGTACTGTCCCTTCAGTATAAGCCCGAATTCAAAAGCGGAAGCCATCCCTACAAACACACCTTTGACAAACTTCGTGTCTTATGTAACTGTTTCTATTCATTTATTATCAGGATGTCAGTACGAATTGTTATTTTGATGATTCCTTGCCCCCATACTTCTGAAAGGGAAAGCAACTGTAAACACAAGGGAGACTGACCTCAGTGATTTCCTCTGTTCAGACAGGAGCACAATGCGCTCAAACACCAAGACAAGCAGAAGTGGACTGTTTAGAATTCCTCCAGCTGTAATCTATAGTAAAAACAAATAAACAAATACGTGACTACAAGATGCGATAATTAATCCCTGCATGAAGCCAACTGTTATCTCTGCTTCATAGATGGAGATACCAAAGCACACAAAGGCTCAACAACCTACCAAGTTCAACACCAAGACTGAGAGCCAAGACTACAGCTTGGGAGGCCATGTGCTCAGTCCATGAGTTTTTTTTTTTCCCTCTTGTGACTACGAACCAGACACAGTTTGGCCAAGGGCAGGCTGAAATGTACCCATTTGGTGAGGACAGTTAGCACCTACCACCTCCTGGGACTGTCACTGCCTGTAGCTGAGCTGCTCCTGAGTGGAGAGGCAGCTCCACTCGGCCTTACCCCAGACAGCCTGCCCCAAAAACCACCCTTCTCTGCCACATCTGCCCCTCTAAAGCTCCCCACCTATGTCCAGGCCCCATCTGCCCCAGTGTTGAGCCCCCCCTCTCTCTGCTCCCTCCCAGAGCCCCCAGCCAAGCTGCCCCACGCCTTTGCTCAGTTTACCCATTCCTCCTCACACCTGTAGTCCCCCCACAGCCCTGCTGAGCTCCTACGGCCCCAGAACCAGCACCCCACCATCAGGCCCCTCTCCCCCCGTCAGGGTCCCCATAACCCTCTTCCTAAAACCCCCCTGAGCACCCCGAGGCGACGGTTCCCTCCCGTCCCTCAGCGACCCCCTCACCCTAATTACCCCTCACATTGCCCAACCTGCCCCCTCAAACCGCCCCTCACGGCCAGCTGCCCCCTTCTCACAGAGCCCTCACACCAACACCCCCTCTTCAGAGTCCCCTCACACCAACACCCCCTCTTCAGAGTCCTCTCGCACCAACAGCCCCTGCCCACAGAGCCCCCCGCGGCCGGCTGCCTTCTCCTCAGAGACCCCTCACCCAACAGCCCGTCCCCCTCACACCCCCTGCGCCACAACTGCCCCTCCGCCCCCCGCCGGCCCTGCCCCTGCCCCCCACCGCCCCCGCCCCTCCCGCCGGCCGCGGCGGTGCTGCTGGGGGGAGAGGGCGGCGAAGTCTCGCGAGAGGGGCGGGCGGGGGCCGCTGGCTGCGGGCAGCGCGGAGCGGCGGCGGCGGCGCAGCCGGAGCCCGGGCGGCGCTGAGGGGAGGCGGCGGCGGCGGGGCGGCGGCAGCGATCGCGGCCCGGCACACGGACCCGCTCCGCCGCGGCGGCACGGCCGGCGCCGCCCGCCCTCCCGCACGCCGCGCCTCCGCGGCGCGGCCTGGCCGCGGCTCGGCGAGCGGGGCCCAGGCGGTGGTGGCGGCAGCGGCGGTGGTGGCGGCGGCGGCTGAGCGCTCCGCCGCGCCCGCCCTGCCATCTTAGGTGCCGTGCCCCGCCGCCTTTGTGCCCGCCGCGCCCGGGCACCCGCGGGGGCCGGGCCCGACGCCCCTCCGGGGGCGCCTCCCCCCGCGGGGCCGCCGCCCCTTGCCCCGCTCCTCCTCCTTCTTCTCCTCCTCCTCCTCGTCCTCCTCCTCCTCCTCCTCCGCGGGGGGCCGACCGGCGCTCCCAGCCCGGCTGCGGCGGAGGGTAAGGCGGGCAGCGCGGCGGGGGACTCGGCCGGGGCGGCCCCGGGGAGGGTGAGGGAGGAGGTGGATGGTGGTTGGGGGGGGCGGCCCGGTGGGGCCGGCGCCTCCCCCGCCGCGCTCTGCGGCACTGCCGCAGGGTCGGGGCCGCGGCCGCCGCCGAGCACCAGCGGGGGAGCGGGCGGCGAAATGGCGCTTCCCGCGGAGGGGCGGCCGCGGGCGGAGGGGTGTTCCCCGCTGTCAGGGCCGCCGGAGGCCCAGGGCTGGGGCCGGGGCCAGGCGTGCCCAGAGCCGCGGCCCTTTTTGTCTGCGGCCCCCACCCCACCCCAGGGGGCTTCGCCGGCAGAGCCCGGAACCCCCGAGGGGGTTGGGGGTCCCTGGGAGACCCGCGTGCATTCCTGATTCCTGCCCTTTATTTTTTTTTTCCCCCTTTTATTTTTTTTCCTCCCTGCCCCTCGCTCCTCCCCAAGCGGTGAGTTTTCAGTGTATATACCATTTTGTTCGGTGCTGGTGTGGGATTTGGCTGAAAGTGACCTATTTTAAAGACCTTTTATTGCTCCCCCCCCTCAGCAGTGCATGTGGCGGCCGATTCCGTTACCCAAATAGCGTTTCCCAACCATTTTAATTTGTCAGATTAAAACATCTCATGGAGGCTGGATTTCTGTAACCCGCGTGTGGGTATGCCTTTAGAAATATCTCTCACCCCGCTTTGCTGCAAGCATCTTTGGAGCATCAGAGTTCACCTTTGTCACTGTGAAAGCAGAAATAAATATCGAGGCGATACCTGGGAGATGCAGTTGTACCATTGTGTTGGGCGCGGTACAAGAAATGGGGTGGATGGGGGGGGGGAGAAGAACCAGGGATTAAAATGGTTGTTGTCAACTGTAGATCTGTACATGTCTTCGGAAAAAAAAATAAGACAACGGTATCAGCACTGAGGACTTTTAATTTATTTCCTTAGAAAAACGTTTTGTGTTTTATCACGCTTGTCTCTGCTACTTATCATGGTAGGGAGTATTTCATTAGGTGGCATTTTAGTGGCTGTGTTGGTTAAATAGCAGTTGCATTAACTAGTTGAACAAATTGTGTCCTTCACCTTTGACTATTGCATTTTGAGAGCCCTTACAGCAGTGTGCCCATGCATGCCAAGGGCGGATTAATAAGATGTTACCTAAAGGTTTGGATGTTATTGATTCCTTACTATTAATGCTATTTATAGTGCGTTTGACATGGCTCTTGCTTTATGTATTTGGACAAAGGTTATCAGCTTGAAGTGCTTCAGATGAAATGTTCCCAAAATATCACCCCTGACACAAACACACACACATATATATTATTGAACAATATACCTCAGGTCTTCAGTGTCTGAAAAACAGCTTTAGCAGATAGCACATAATGGTGAAAACAGTGAAAAAATGATACATTTTGACACTAGTGAAGGTTTGTTTTCCCATTTCAGGATTACAGAATAACAAATTCTGTAGCAGTAAATACAGTTTTGGGTACATTTTTCTTGACCCTACTTGGAGCCTACATTTTCCTTGCCTTTATGCCTGCTCATAGTGAGCATGTCATAGTTTTTGCTACTTATGTCCAAGGGCAAACCTAATCAACGATTGGTTTGAGCCTTCATATTAGATTCTCCACAACACTGGCCTAGTTCTGACTGGTATGTTTGCCATTTTTAGGACTCCTTTTCCTTTTACCCGTAGACTGAAATATATTGATAAACTTGAACCTTAATTTGTCCTTTGAACTTGAGAGAGTGTTTTTCTCCTCTGTTAAGAATACCTCACTGAAGAGAAAGTGATTCTGGTAGAACAGCTTAATTTAGGTTTAATCCTGTTGAAACACAACTGCCTGAAGTACAAACTCCTTGGATAGTTTGATATTATTTTTCTTTTTAACTAGACTGAATTAAGCGTTGGCTGTACAGGACCAGATGTTGGCATTAAAATTATGTACAGATAAGTTGGCTTAGGCCTCAAGTTAGACTATTTGAAAAAGTTATCTGTGTCCTGCTGTTAAATTCTGGTGTAAGCTAAGCTGGAAAACTTTAAATGTTTACTTCCAGCTAAATAACATTTCCATTTGCGTGGTTTTCATCTCTGTCTGTATTTGTCAGGTTTTGTCACCAGAACAGCATATTTTTAATGATTTGTAAGACAGCCTCAGGTTTTACTCTTGGTGAGATACATTAGAGGAGAAGCAAATATCACAGTAATAATTACATCTTCAGATGTATCCTAGTAGTGGATTTCCTGTAATGAGGATGTTTTGTAGAGAACAATAGATGTGGCAGCAAATTCAGAGATTTGTTTTAAAGATGTTGTAGGTAGCTGACTCTGCAGTAGTGAGTTCCACTTTGACACAACCCTTGCATACTCAACAGGAACATTAGATGGTTTCCAGGTACTTCTTTTTCAGGTGTAATTCTCTTTCTAGCAAAGACAGACTGGAGGTACTGCTGCTGTTAGTTCTCACTCTATTGCTTCTGCAAGGATATACTTTTGATCTAACTTAGTAGAGACTAAAGTTGTTTACAAAATATGCCTCATAGAAGTTATTTGACACTATAGGTGTTTTTTGAAATAAGAAAATATTTAGGGTTGATCTGGTTCTCTCTGTGATCCAGAAGTGGTGAGGAAGCTATGGTAAATACCACTTGTCTTATTCCATTCTTAGTGTATTTTGGGGAACACTTGCATAATCACTAAGATCCTATCTTAGAAGCATTTTCTGTTTTGTTCCTGTTCATATTAAAATAATGTAAACAACATAATGTTATGTTGAAGTGCACACTAGAAACTATAAAAACCTTTGGTGTTACCAGGAGTGACCCAGGCTCTTGTCTTCTGAGTGACTGGGCCTGGGTGACCATTACATTCTTCCTGTCCAAGTATGCTACTTAGTGTGAAGGATTTCAGTTTTATTTCCTTTTGTGAACCTGGACAAAGGGAAGAGCTGAACTTCAACCCTGGGCTAGAATCATGACTGAATCAGAAGGTGTCCTGGGTCTGACAGCAGGGTTTCAGTTATGGGTGACACATGTCCTCCCTTGGTTAACTATGTTTGGGAGAAGCTTGTCTATAGCACCATAGAGAGGGATGATTTAATACCTCCTGAGACTGATGTCTGCCCTTTCTTTTATAGCTCTAGAATGTGTCTCACTCTTCTCACATTCTCCATCATTCTTGATGGACATGGTGCAGGATGAAATCCTGGTCTGTGCAGTCTGGTGCTTTCTGGCAAATGCCCCTTACCCTAGAAGTTTACTGAGGTGTGTGGTGCTGTCCTTCACCTGCTTCTCCTTGTGTGTCATTCCACTGGCTCTGGTCTTTGATCCTGCACCAGCAGAAAGCTAAGCTAAGTGAAGATACAGAGAGTTTTGTGTCAGCTTGGTGATCTGAAATGGCTCAGTGCACACTTAGGTGAGGCTGGAGAGAGCCCCAGGGACTGGGCCGTGCCACCACAGCCAGCGATGAGATTGGGAGCCAGAGGTTGGTGGCACTTTTTGCTAAACTTGAGGTGGTTAGGTTTCAGGATTCTTTGTTTTTATTGTCCTTTAACATGCTGAGGAGTTGCTGAAAATACATTGATTTCTCTGTGGAGAAGAGACTGAAAAAAAATCCAATGGATGAAGGGTCAGAAAACCACTAATTCCCCTCCTGTGAAGTTCCAGAGGGAGAGCCCTTCCTGTGAAAAAAACCCTTAAAATATAAAAACATGAAATCAGAGGTGAAGTGCAAAGTGTCTGAGGGGAAGAAGTGTGCACAAAACAGGAGGAAAGGATGGAGAGCTGTTTAGAAGCAGAGTTGGCTTTTACACACTGTATTCCCTCCTTG